TACTATCTTTTTACATGACTGTTGCCTTAAATAAATTAAAAAAAAAATAGTTCTGGAATATATCCCCATGCAAAACTTGCTCTAAAGATTTTCATCAGATAGGGAAGAAGGATGTCGATACCCCTCTGTAGTTGGATGGGAATTATTCCATCCTCCCGGCTTGTTTTAAATGGTTTAAAGGAGTCAACAGCCAACTTCACCAGGTTTGGCCTTATTATTTTTGCAGCTCTACACCAGTCCTCATTAGAAGGCCTTCGTAGGGCTGTGAAAGAATTCAAGGCCGAAGTCTTGTGACTTGTGACCCTGGGAAATGGGTTGACGCTAGTAACTCCAATGTTTCTGTTTCACTATTAGTGAAGTTACCATCAGGCTTTTAAGGAAGCCCGATTTGATTAGGTTTAGCTTTCGATAGCATTTTGGGTTTGCATGCGGGCAAAGACTCAACTTCCTCGCATAGCTTCCTCCACGATGCTTTATTGGCTTTCCTAATTTCTTTATTATATTCAGTTAGGGCTGCACTATAAATATCCCACTTTTTGGTTTTCTTAGCCCTATTAAATAGTTTTCTGGTCTTTTCCCTAAGAGCCGTAACAACCCCAATATAAGTTATTTGTCACCTAATCTGCAACAACAGAAGTCACACTAATGTTACTTTAATTTGAATTACGCGTATAACTGAAACATTTATTATTATACGTTGCAAAATGTATTTTGTAATGTATAATAATAAAAGTCTCAAATCAAAACTTTTTATTTATTTTTGTAGTAAATAAATAGTTTTGATTTGATAGTGTTGAGTACTATTGTTTTCCCAATAATCAAGAAAGTCAAAATAATTTTACGGCACGTCTATTACCTAATTAAACATTTGTTTAGAAAAATGACACGTTGATATATAAAGGTTCGCCACCCCTGGCCTAAGGCCTGTATAATAAAAGTTACAATTTGTTATGACGATTTACATCTACAGCGCTACATATTTTTTTTTTTCAAATAAAAATTGTTAAATTTGTAGTAGTAATTATGTTCAAAAATTTATAAAATTGTAGAATCGTGGCTATATTTATCGATTTTTATTACTAAGAAATTCAGGACTTCATAGGCGTGATTTTACTGACTGCTGTCGCAGAGATCAAGCTATCTTTTATGAACTATAATAAACGTATTTACTGTTTACTGTATAGATATAGCCCTAATAGTGGGCTGGGTTGTCACTTACTAAAAAGAATGAGAGAGGAAGGTAAACACCAGTTATAAAACTAATACTTATTAAATAAGGTAATAAAATATCAAAAAATAATTTTATATGTATTTCTTTTAATCATATTACATAATATACACAAATCAAAAACATAATTAATTTATGGAATAATTCATTACAAATTTCTCGTGTTTTAGGACACTAAAGCTATATAATAAGGCTGTGTATGATATGATGAGATGGTTGCGTACATATATGCAACTTCGAAAACATGTTCAAAAATAAATGTCGTCCTGAATCTAGCTCGTAAAATCTACGCCAAAAAGGTCGAACATCTACTTTAAAAGCATTACACGATAACGCTTAATCTTAATTCGATAGGGCTTGATGTTTATTTTAACGCTAGTGTCATTGATTATAATGTCTTCTTCTTAGTAACATTTGTTTTAATAACAATATTTCTGACATTTAGGATTATTGCATACAGGTACAGATATATAGCCTTAAAACAAAGTACTGGATGTACCATTTAATCTTTGATTACTTTTAATAATAATAATAATAAATCTTTACTACATAAGTTCGAAAATTAATTCCAGCACGTCAAATATTCAAAGGTGATGTTAAATGAACCCTAAAATTCAAGACTGATGACTGGGAAGTGACGCAAGCTCGTAGCGAATTGTTGAAAATACGGAAAAAATGGCCATATTGAAATACTCGAGAGTGTCAGATTATTATACAGAAGGTTCAGCTTGAGATCCAGTTATGGTAACTTAAAATCTGACGATTATTTTGAGGGATATTAATAATCTGACAGCTAGAAAGATTTTTTATGAACTGAATGTTCATTTGTTGAATGGCACGAGAGACAGAGATAGGGAAAAGTGAAAGGTAGTGAGAGGCGCGGAGTGGGGTATATATACTTTACTCTGGCTACACGCTCTCATCGTCATAGACGATTTTTAGTAATTCAGCTTGTGGAAATCGGCAGATTATGTGTTTTTATTTTTGCATTATTTTCTTCAAAACAAAAAAAAATCAACCACGCAGGAGAATGTTAAGATGTTTTTTTTTTAATTTTGAACCGTCCCACACCTTACGTTACGCTCAGGTCGTCAAATTTTATAAATGCAGGCTTTTAGGCTCGTAATTAACCCACCTTACCTTAATCTGACGCGCTTGAGTAAATCGAAAAAATCCCCTCTTGGGCTCTCCTACTAGTAGTAAATTTAATAATAGTTTATCACTGGAGGATACAATATGTCGTAGCTGAATTGTAGAATTTACCGTATTGTGACGCCCATTCCCTAAATGTTTAAAGGAATATTTAAATACTACATTTTTGTTATTTGTATAAATTCAATAATTCTCTTCATATCGCTTACACACATGGTCGAACAAAAGAAGGCCTTCCAATTTCCAACGAGAGAATTTTTTTTATTTTTATCTATGTCATCCCATATTATAATATGACTCTCTAACTCATGTAACGCCATCGTTAAAGAGAAGCACTATTTCGTTGTTTCCATAATTTTATTTGACTTTTAAATGTCCAAATCTTGTGTAATCGGCAGATTTAATATGTAATGAAAATATAATTGTAAAATATTCATTACATTGTTCAATCTCATGATATAAATAATAGTCTCAAAAGTAAGTTTAACAATCAACAAAACTTATTATATATTAGCTTTTTCTGTTCCAGTGCACACACGACTCTATTCACGAAAGAGAAAACAGTATAAAGCAACTGTGTGAAAACAAGGCCATAAGAAAAAGGGACAAAATACCAACATCTATTTTTTTTTTTAATAAGAAGGGTGATAAGCGAACATAAGCGCCTACTAATTAGCAAGTGGATGCAGCGATCCATAGGCTCCTACATTTATCGTCGCGTAAGAATCACAAAGTTGTCACATCTGAGGACAAAGATGAAATGCCCATCTGCTGCTCCTGGTTACGCCAGTATTTTTGTTACTATTTTTGGAAAATAAAAACTGAAATAAACTTTATTATATTTTAAACTTCTACTGTTTTGTAAGTACTTTGTAGTTTTAAGATTCGACATATCTAATCCAAAAGTTCTAAAAATTAGAAAATTAAAAAAGGGAGTATATAGAATAACTGGCAATTAATAGGAAATGCGGGCCGAGAGACTTTTGAAAATTAGGTATTTGAAGAAACTATTGCTATCGCTCTGCGAGCGCTCGGCGTCCGGCCACGATGGTGTAGTTTTTGCATAACTGAAAAACATATGGGGGATCTAGTTTTGTTCGGCCATGTATCTATGTAACTACCGTTTTCCTACTACAACAACTGCGCAAAACACTGCTGGATAAACATTGCCCGTTATTTTATACAAAATGGCGCTGCATTGTAATAATCCTTCTTCAAAAGTTTTTTAGCACAATAGTACGTTGTATTAATTTTATTTTATATTTTGCGGTCTTTATTTGCACCTCCCACTTGTGTTCAAAAAATATATCATTAGTTATTTTCATTGAACTTGATTTGATTATATCAATTAATTACTGCTTTACATAAACAACATTTATGCGTTTTATTATAACAAAGCCTTCGTCTTCAAAAAAGTTTATACCGACTAAATGATATCACAGATGAAATTTTGGAAACAAAGCAACAAATACATTTATAATATTCTAAGCATTTCTTTTATCATACTTAAAAAATACAACATCAATAATACATTCATCTTAAATAGACAATTAAAAATGAAACGCAATAAACACTATGTTTATTAATATATATTTACAGATAATAATATATTTTGGTACATAAAATAATATATTAACAAAATGTTATTAATTATTATACTCGAAGACACTACCAAGATATTTTCAGGTTATACGAAAATTGTATAGTTGAAAATGGGTAAGGAGCCTTTCTAGCGACTAGAAGTAAATTTCTATACAGCTATTGAATATGAAAGTATAATTATATCATGAAAAATAATCATCTCTTTCAACAGAAGTGGAACGGCGAATAGTTTTCACTCTGGATTGAGGACGAATAATCCTGACAGACCTCTCCTTTTTTTCGCATCATCTACGCATGCATGCTCCTCGGTTAAGGATACTTTTTTTTCATATTCAATATATTGCCCATTTGGGCGATAAACCTCTATGTTAGGCGACCTTTGCCTCTATCACTCACTTCTGCAGCACAAAACTGACTTGTCACTCGTCATTAATTCTTTCTTCTTGTATAACTTTCATTCAGTCATTCCTTATCCTCAACATACTTTTTGACCATCAGTAATTTCGCTCTTATACTTCTTGTGCCAAATTCAACTTTCGCTACCACATATTTAGATAGAGACTAACACAACATTCCGAATTACCGATTAGGTAGTAGTCTTAGTTAAAAAAAAAGCTAGATATATACGCTTCTTAATTAAAAATTATAGAAAATTTTGAAAAATCACGAAGATTCTTATAATTCCGCATGAAATAGCTCCTAAGTATAATAAATACATATTTAATTTAAAATTTTCAATAACACATCTACTATTTAAAAACAATAACATTTTGTCTTAAAATCTTTATGGTGAAATATTATAAGACTACGACAACCCACATGTGTAAAAGATAAAGCTCTTCCTTCTTGTACCTAGTGTTTTTAAATGGCGTCATATTAATATTTTTATAATATTGCATGGTGCTAAATTATAGTTTAATAAATAACATTCATGTACTAATTTTATCAAATCTTTCAATAAGAAAGGAAATATTTCACAATTGTAGAAGTACATTTGTATTATTTGATGAAAGATTCATCACAGTCCATCATAAGTAGATATTGAGTCGCTCGATGGATGCCCTAACGTATTATTTAAGCTATTTTCCTTCACCGTTGACGAAGTCCTGCAAAGATATAATACTATCTTAGTAATTTAAAAAAAAAAGCTTTATAGCAAATGTTTATTAAAATCTTGTACACAAATAATTTATAGAGTTGACGGTCCATCTCAATTTGCCATAAAAATACTTTTATGGTGGAGAAATAAATATAATTTTCATTTCATTTCCATTTCTTACGTCATCCATTGATACGACCTGGGGACCATCAAGAAAAGAGCTTACTCCTTCTAAAGGGCCGGCAACGCACCTGCAATTCCCCTGGTGTTGCGGTTGATCATGGGCGGCGGTAGTCACTTAACTTAACTCTCAGGTGAGCCGCATGCTAGTTTGCCCCCTTCTGTAAAAAAAAATTCAAGTGGAAGTCCGGGCACAACTTACAACAAACACCAAAATACATGAAATGACAATAATAATGTGTTAACAGTTTAGGCAAATATAAAAATAAATATATATTATATATTTATTTTTAAATATAATAATTTTCTCATAAAAATGCAAAAATACACTATAGTCTTTGCGTTGTAGCTTGGTGCGAATGACAGCTTACACCTATGAAGTTTCGTTTTTTTTTTGATAAACTGTCATACAGATATTGTTGTACTTCATGGATGGGTACCGCCCCCCACTTAAGAGAGTGATGTGGCACGCTACAAACTATGCCATGCCATAACGAACAACCACAGACTATCAAGAATCGGTTTTGAAATAAATCGAATATATAATAATCACGTAAATGTTTATTGGAATTATAACTATGTAATCGTTTAACAAATTCTGATTTACAGAAAAAAATGCACATAGACGAATATGCAGTGTTTCCATAGTTTGCTCCGATAAATTATTCGTTGGTTAGCTTAGGCAAAAAGAATAATTATAAATGTGTCAAAAATACTAGGCTACAAAAACCTGTTTTATATTTTTATTACATTAGATTTGAAAACAGTACTGACAATTACAGATGCTGACAGCCATTTTACTTGTGTCAATGTCAATATGAATGATGCAATTAACATGAAATATAAGATGATTTTTACAACGCGAGCGAGGTCCCGGGAACAGCTATTATGTAACTATTATGCCATAATTTGTATTAAACTTTAACTTAATTTGAAATGCATTGTAGTTTATAAAGAAATATGTTTCGGTATTAATTTTTATATCAATAGCTAATCGATAATTTTTGCTTTGCTTTTTGTATTGATAAATAATATATTAACAAAATGTTATTAATATATTATTTTAATAACATTATTATTTTATGTACCAAAAAGTTTTATTAGCGCCTTTTTAAAATCGATTTAACGTTGTTCCATCTCTAGACACGCTAAACTGTAAGCTGTCACGCGCACCATGCTATAAACGCAAAGACTATAATTAAAAAGTTATTGACCTGTTTTTAGTGTACTATTTTTATCTATATATACTTTACTTGCAACATTTTTGTTATATATTATTAACTGCCCTTTTATCACTATAACCCATTTAAACTGACAAAACTTGAAAACAATAGTATACAAACAGCAACATGTGCAACTTTTGCCATATTATATCATTATATGGATCTCAGTTGTGGTCCTTCATACTGTTATACGAGGAAACTAAAGGTTATTCAACGAGCTATAGGGTGGCTTTGATCGGAGTTTTTCTGTTTTAGGGAGGGCTTGCTCATTAGAGCTATTAAGTTACGCTTGGATTGCTGGTCTGGGTGTTTTAATTGTTATACCGCCATCTATCGGAAGCCATAAGATTAATTTCCCTATTCGTCTCTTACGTCAGCACAACAACCAAGGGACTAGACATGTGATCAATCATTCATTTCTCGTGACCGAATCATTCTAGTAGGTACATTTTGTCACGCGTACCGGTACATTCGGATCGATCATTCAAATGGATCATTTTGGGTTCCAGTGCCTCATCATTCCTTTTCGACTCATTTACAATTCATAGCAATCACGAGCTAAAAAGGTCCCGTCAATTGTTTATGATTAGTTGTACCGGAACATTCAAAAACAGATGAATGAACTATCAACACTTTTAAGTGTACCAGCTTAAACGAACGAGGGAACAAGGGACGAAATGTGGTAATGATTTCTAGACATGGGCGTTATTAATTCTTTACGATAAATGATACGTAACAGACATGAAATTTTCATATCGATATCAAAGACCGTTGTTAGATATCGATATAAAACACAATTTGGTTACCGTTTCCGATAGATATAAATTAGAACTTTCAAACCAAAACAATTTTTAAAAAATTAAAACGCGCTTTTATTTACGAAAAATGATGATTGAACACTTGACATTTAGGCTTGAAAAAGTTTATTTAAAAAATTGATTTTGATTTTGATAGTTACTTTGCTTCGTCGCGGAACGGAATGAATATGGATTTACGTTATAAAAAGTTACGTTACCTGTGTTGCGTTTGGATTAAATTCGACTGAGCGTTATTGTAAAAACCGTTGTCTTTGTGTAGCATATCGATAGGAAATGTTTTGTTATGTGTAACCGTTTTTAGTTACATTTTGATATATCGTAAACCATGGGCATGATGGTTTATTTTACGTCAGCACCGTACATACTATGGCAATGTATGTACGGTGCTGACGGTATTACTTTATGGAATTAATCAATTTAATGATACATGCTATGCATAAAAATGTAGAAATTACCCAAAAAACGGCAGCAGTGTGATAAGTTGCGCGCGACTCGTGCATTCACGCAACTCGGGCAGCACCAAAAGTATGAAGCGAAGGTAAGCTTGTAGAGCAACTCTACGCTGTTCCACTAAATGTGCGTCCTGAGAATTAAATATCAAAAAGGAAATTGAAAATTTATTGCTGCATGTTGTAAACATTCCGAAGTGGCGTTACCTGCGTGTGACATCCTGCTATTCTAATACCGTCCTATGCTGCTAATACCTATTAAAATGAGAAAGTTTGTTGAATTGGCTCAATCACATAATAACTACTAAATGTTTGATTTGATTTGGATTTTGATGAAACTTGGCAATATAGATAACAAACCAGAATATACGCTATGATGCAATAAAAAATATTTAGTTTTTAATTAAACGCGAGCAGAGTCGCGGGTAAAAGCTAATTAATTTATAACCTACTCTTAGGTTGCAATACAACATTAAAAAAATGAACGAGAACATATTGAGTTCAATGACAATATCCTATACCAGGTGTTGGTGAAACGCTCCCAGAAACGAAGAAAGACGATAGTACTAACGATACCTTTGACGATGGGTTAGAAAAAAAATCATCTTTTCACGTTTTATTAGCTTTATTTACGCTCCATCATCTTAGTACAGCTAAATGAAACGATAATTTCATAAAAAAATCATGAAAATACTTAAACTAAAAACTAGCAGTGGAACTTAAAATAAAATCAGGTGGCAAAGGATCAATATTCGCGCAGCCCGCAGCTAGCGATTATACCAATACCTAATAATTTACAACACTTATCTAAATACCTAACTTATCTACTTAACCTACTACTTTGTCGTGCTAGTGAACTTGTGAATTTGAATTAAATTGGTGTGTAGTAAGTGTAATAAGTGGAAACCTAGCCACTTTAATTCGGATTCACAGAACCAAATACCTGGTTCGATTCCCCGCTAATGAAAAATTTACTTAAATAAAATTTTAACAAGGATAGAGTCATGCTTTTTTATCCATCATGTAGGTATTTCTATTATACTGATGTACTCATTTATGTACCTATTCAGTTCAGTACTGTTATTTCAAAAAAATTAGGTATGAAACAGCATACCGATCTAAATCCTCCGTGGCCTTATGAGTTGCGGCTCAAATTGTGCCCCATTCATTTCTAGGCAAATTTAGACTCGGCGTTGCGTCTCCTCATGCAAGCGGGGTATCATCGTAGGGTCTTCGCCACAGTCTGCACGTAGTTCGTCGAAAACATCCACGATCTTTTGGCACATTTGGTCAGCACTATCACACTCACGATTAAAAACTTTTTCTTTCACATACCCTCACGGAAAGAACCTAACGGGGTCAGATCTGGTGAGCGAGGTGGCCAAGCGTGTGGTCCTCTTAGTCTCCCAATCCAGCGATCATCAAATAGCTCGGTGATGCGCTCACGGACGAACCTCGCGACATGCGGAGGTGCATCATCATGCTGGAACCATGTGCGGCGATAATCAGTCAACGATGGGTCGTCTAAAATGTCAACCAACTGTTCATTTATGAAGTTTAGTTATAAGTCGCTGTGGCAGAAACACTGGTCCCAGTATGCGATCCTTAAATAAACCTGCTCATACGTTAACCAACCATCTGGTTACGTGCCCGGTTTGTCGAACAGCGTGCGGGTTACAAGTGTGTATTTCTTCGGTTCCACAGGCCATTTCTAATAAATGTCGACTCGTCCGTCCAGATGACTTGCTCAATGAAACCAGGCACACGTTGTTGCTGGTCTAATAACGAACGGCCGAAAACTCGCCAGCTATCGTGAATGCCGAGAACTAAAGCTTGCACTTAGCGTACTTTGTATGTACGCATTCGGTTAAGCTTTAACACCTCGTGAACTGTCACACTTGTTTCATCCCGACACCTTAACAATTTAGCGATACTTCGGTTCGGATACTTTAGGTTCGGATTCGTAGAACGACATCTAAAATCCGCTCCTCGGAGTGAACAACCACTTGACTTCCACTTCCTGCCGCTACGAGAGTAATAGCCGATTTTCCAAAACTCGCTGAAATGCTGCTATTATCAGACGAGAGGCAGCTGTGTGTCAAGCGGTCTGTAATTTCTCTTAGTAAATTCGTAATGCACGCGAAGCATTCCCGCGATCTTCTCCAAGTTACATAAAGTTGTTGTCGTATGCAAAAGTACGCGTTAGGCATTATTAAAACAAAACAAGAAAACGAAAACGTAACAACAAGAATAATAAGAACAAATAATAATAAGTAATACAACAAAAATTTAATAAACAAAACGATTGAACTGTCGCTCACACGAAAGTGCTAGAACACAGTCAGTCAGACAGTCAACAGGGAACTGTCTCAAAAACTAAAATACATAATCAATCCCGCCAAAACAGATGCCTACCGCTAAGTGCGTGTGTCCTTGGGGTAAGGCACTTTGATCATTTCCACAGATCGATAAACCGTTACGACATTCCCAACTTTTATAATAAGTTTAGTTATCCCTACGACCAGTGGCGAAGCTTTCATTACAGCCGAAAAGCCGGGCTTGCCTTATTAAACCTGAATCAATCAATAATATCAACTAATAAAAGAACTCGTAAAATGTTTCAAGATATTTCAAATTTCCCGCGCACTCCACTGTTCGACACATGTCGATCGATGACCTAGTATTGCCTTAGCGATACTGCTGCTGTTATAAAAAAATGAGTTTTAATAGAGCTAATAGTTGTCTCCCTCGCTCGCGTGGGCTTTTTACGGGGCTTTCGAGAAGACGATCGCTCTCTTTCTAACCTATGGCAAAATATTCTATAATGAAATATAACTACGATTGTATATATAGCAATTAGTATAGAGATTTAAAGCCAGGCTTTTGGGAATAAATTTGTTAAAATCGGAGGCGCGCCGGCAATACGTTTGCAAGTTCATTTCACGTTTCAATGTTTATTTATTCTGTGTGCTTATCTTAAGTGATTTAATATTACGAGTTCAAAATGTATGCTTTTTTAAAGATTTTTAATGAAAATGGAGGATAATAGTGTTCCTTGTGATGAATTGAAGTGTGTTAAAGTGATAATCGGAGAGGAAATCTTTAAACTTTGTTGAGATAATACACAAGGTATCAGATCTGGTGAGCGAGTAAGAGTAAGAGTGTATTTCAGACTTATCAATTATCGCAATTAAAAACAGTTATTGGTACAATTAAAACGTTCACCAACATTTTACGTGAACGTAATTAAATCTTTCCTTAAGAAAGCGAGACGATTCCACTTATCTTATCTTATCTCTTATCCATTAGAATGTAAATAATTTGTTGTTTTTTTTATTTCAACATAGTTTGTTTGTACTTTGTTCGTGTTTTACTTTTGTTCATGTATTGTATTGGATGTAAATATTTTTTTCTTTCGCATAAACAAACCCAAACGGCTTTCTTCAAAGCCACCGAAGCTATGCAATTGCTGATATGTAATACAATCTATCTAGCAGTGGTATGCCTTCTGTGTGCTTTGTTAAACACGTCCTTGACAGCACTGAATATGAAACTGAAGCGTGGAGACAGATCAAGATTGGTGTATTTTTATAAAACTGCTAAAAACAACAATCTATATTTTTATCAATTTATATCTTAGGCTTGCCCTAGCTTGGAGCTCTAGCTTCGCCACTGCCTACGACTAGTCTTCATATGGAATATAGAAGTTATAGTTGTTATTTTTAATACAATTATTCAATCAATTGTACCCTGACGCAACAAGCAGTTTGTTACTACAAAAATGATATTAAAATTAATAAACGTACCTAATTGGGTACTCACACAATTATAAACACTATTTCAACATTAACTTTGATTTTGTACAAGAAAATAGAACTGAAATGGTACTGAATTATTTAATAGTTAAAATCAACTGCAATTATGATCGATAGTTAAATAATCTATCAGAATTAGCCTAAAAATAATTCTTTTACTTTATTTTGATTGACTTTCCATTTTTAATCCGTCCAATATTTTGAATTCAAAAAGAGGTACGTCAAAACTACTAAAAATTACTTGCAAGTTTGATTGTGATTGCCGCATCTAAATTCTTATGGTGTAAATTTCACAGCGCGAGGCGACAAGAGACGGCCCGGCGGCGGCAGCACGTGTGTGAAAGGGAAGGGTAGAATGACTCGTGAGAGAAAGTGCAAGTAACGTAAGTGTAGTACAGAAATACCTAATGCATTGTTTCATACCGAGCTATATAGATATAAGAGTTCGGCGTCAAAAAAAAATTAAAACAGAAAAAACAGCTTTCTGTCAAGAAAATAATAGTGTAAAACGATAAAATTACGAAAAAGAAAACATGTGTGCAGTTCACACGTGGTAGGAGTGTAACTCATTTTCTATCTATCTATCTCTGTTTCTCGCAGTCTAAATCCTATATGTTTGTCTCGTTTTAGTGTCGTTGTTTCGTTTCGTTCATCGAGTTTCAAATCATATAAAGAAGTTTTCACTTCAAAATTATAAAATAGTGTAAAGAGAGCCGAAGCATTTCTCAGCGCGTTCCAAAAATTTTGAATGTTGCACACTACAAGCCGGGGCAGCCGCAAGAATTTCCCAACCGTAGTTATAGAAGTCGGTACGAGTTTTATGCATTGGACTGTTTTGGTGCGGCTATTTTACACAGAATTGTTCTTTCAATAAAACGATAGTGCACTCGTGTGATGTTTGCACCAATCACGTACTACTGAAGGAACAACAAATCAATCGAGCAAGGGATAAGTATCGCCGCCCCTGCACTTCATCTCAAACCATCAAGCAGACATATAAATAAAATTTTCTCGTTCCAGGCGGGCGGGCTCATAAGTTATATTTGGTGTAGTGATCTACACGCCATGCACGCGTTGTCGATGATAATTCCGCGGTGAGTGACTAATAGTCACGCGTTTACTTGCTACGATAACAAATGATTCACGTAAGCTATTAGCGCACGGTGTATGATATGGTTTGTTTTGCTGCTATAAATAACGAGTTATTATTTATTTCTATCAATTTAGTATTAGAATACTTAACTACATGAAGGCTTCGATAACATTACGACATAAATGCTGTACATCATTTATTGCCATAAGACCTGTAAGTGCGAATGAGAGCGCAATATGTCCCGCTATTCTCACTCGTCTTATTGTCGCCCACTTTGGGTTTACGCACACTTTGGGTTTATTGATTAGACATTTGGACGATAAAAAAACTTACCCGTTTCCTTAGCGTTTTCTTTGGTGGGAATTTATAATTTGCTATGTCAGGGTGACATTTTTTTAGTTGAGTATGTAGTTCATGGAACATTGCATACCTATGATAAACATTCCATTCTTCTTGGCCCACCTTGAGGAAAATCTGGCAAAAATTGATAATGAATAGAAATAAATAACACATGAACAAGGCTCTCCACTACACAGAGTGACAACAGGTCGAAATATGAAAAGCGTCGATAGATGTTATTAGCTCAAGACCACAATTTGTAGCAATCTCGGCTCTGTAGCGCAGCGATTAAGATTTTGAAATAGTGTAGAGTGAATATAGTGTGTGTGTTTTGTGTGTGTGTGTGTGTGTGTGTGTGTGTGTGTGTGTGTGTGTGTGTGTGTGTGTGTGTGTGTGTGTGTGTGTGTGTGCGTGCGTTGTGTGTGTGTATGTGTGTGTGTCTGTCTGTCTGTCTGTATGTGTGTGTGTGTGTGTGTGTGTGTGTGTGTGTGTGTGTGTGTGTGTGTGTGTGTTCTGTATGTGTGTGTGTGTGTGTCTGTATGTGTGTGTGTGTCTGTATGTGTGTGTGTGTGTGTGTCTGTATGTTGTATGTGTGTGTGTGTGTGTGTGTGTGTGTGTGTCTGTCTGTGTGTGTGTGTGTGTGTCTGTGTGTGTGTGTGTGTCTGTGTGTGTGTGTGTGTGTGTGTGTGTGTGTGTGTGTGTGTGTGTGTGTGTGTGTGTGTGTGTGTGTGTGTGTGTGTGTGTGTGTGTGTGTGTGTGTGTGTTAGCACGAATCGGTCGGTTCGACCGGGGAAGGACCACGCTCTCACAGAATACCAGCATAAAATAGCAGCTAAACCCTGCTGTGTTTCGTATGGTGAGTGTAGAGAACCGGAGACCCGTTTAACTGGAAAAGTGGCATTTCATCTTAGTCATCTCGGGTGACAACGCATCTGCATTTAGATGTAGGTGTCTATAGGCCACAGCACCCACTCATCAGGTGGGCTGTGTGCTCGTTTGTCACCCTTATCCTTTAAAACTAAAAAATAAACTGTATCTGTACGCTCGAGGCTATGTCCGACAACTGTAGTCTTAGTGCTGTATGATGATGACAAATTATAACTTTTACTGTAATGGGTTGGTACAACTTTAGTGTAATGGGTTCGCTTAGCGAAAACTCCAATCCCGCACTTAATAAATACCTGCTTGTAAGGCCCTCAAATAATTGCACCGGGGCTAGACAGTTATGCAAACGAACTTGACGTATGTAAAACATTTGCTTTCACGAAACAAAAAGATTCTTATAACATTTAAAACAAAACAGAAATCAAGTTTGTAACTTGGGTAGACACGTGTCTTTGTTTCACTTTGATTTATTAACAATAAACAAAATAATAAACAAAAAGACCGGTTTACAGTATCATCAGAGTATATAAGGCGTTTATTTATAGAATAAACAAGTGCACCTGCCTATTCAAATAACAAAAATAAAGTTCCACTATGTGGCAACAATCGCAATTATAAATTATAAATTAATATTAATTTTACCTGATAAACATGATATGAATGTGTTTTCTTTCCAACCAAAAACGCACTTGGCATGTAAACTTTCACATTCGACTCAGGATAATCTAAAATTTCAAGGGTTGAACCACTTTCTAAGTCTTGAAGTCGTCTTTGTAAATGTTGATTGAATTCCATGAGCTCGGCATGCATTTCCGCGACCTAAACCACAATAATACATATTTAAGGTGATATAGAAAGTCAGCTCAAATTCTAATTTCGCCCCCACTTCCCCGCGCGTCGTATGCTATGTACCGACATGTTTGTAATCACTAATACTGTAAGTAGATAGGTCGTTAGATACTTATTTCATTAGGTTAATCATATTCATGTCTGTTTCTTTACGCCAACCCAGTCGCTTCTTATTTTTATTACGGTTATTCCCCATTTTAATTTTACGTCGTTCTTTTGCGTAATGTGTATTCTGATTGTAAGCGACACAGCTGCCCCCTTCGAAAGCCGAAGCAAGACTGATGGAGATTGATCGGACGACAGGAAACAAGCTTCAAGACGAATAGTTTAGGTAATTTGTTTTTACAGTGAAAATACTGGTAATTTAAAAAAAACATAAGCCCTGCTTTATATTTAGTTCAGTTAGTATGCAAAGTTTCATAATCTAATTTAAAGTATTTTATGAATACCAGCAGTTTATATTTCAGTTTGGAGGTAACTTTGGATTTTTTTTCTATCGAGTAAATTTTACGGAATCGTGTTTTCGTTTAACATAGTACTTAACATTAATCCTCAACTTTACCATATATTTCAATTAATGCTGCAATATTTTCGGCATAACGGAGGATCTTGCTAAGCTATTTGAGGTAGTATTTTTATTATTTCCCCTTAAATCGGATTGATTATAGTTACCGTACAAAGTTTATTAGGTGGTGTGACTGTTTTTCCGTCTAGGAGTGAGTGGTAAGTTCTGTTTTTATGTGGTAGAGCAATGCTGCAGCTATGCTAGCTTACTAGCTATACATAACTATCGACTCGACCGGGGTAAGGCCCGGTTTACATTTTGCGAAGTGACAAGTGCGAGTGGCAAGTGCAACTGACAAATGACAAGTGTTTAGTTCGTGTGAACAAGCAGTGCCAAGTGATAAGTGGGAATAAAATACGGACTTGTCACTTCTCATTTGTCATTGTCACTCGCACTTGTCACTTCTCAAAATGTAAACCGGGCTTAAAGGGTTCCGTGTTCACGCGGTCGTTTCATTGCATTCACAAACATACAGTAACACTCACCGAATACCAGCGTGAAACAGTAGAATAATGTAGCGGTGTTTCGTATGGTGATTGTAGAGCACCGGAGTCTCATTTTAACGGGGTATTCCATCCTTATCCTCAGGTGTGACAATGCATCTGCATTTTTGTCCTTAATTGAAGGTAGATGTAGATATCAATGGGCCATAACATCCATATTTTTTATAGGAGAGGTGGCAAACGAGCATACGGCTAACCTGATGGTAAGTGATTACCGCCACCTATGAACAACTGTAACACCAGGGAAATTGCAGATGCGTTGTCGGCCTTTTAAAAATAAGTACTCTTTTCTTGAAGGTCTCTAAGTCGTATCGGTCCGGAAAAATCTCTGGTGGTAGTCGATTCCACAAGGAAGTCGTGCGAGGAAGAAAACTTCTTTCAAATCGCACAGTGGTAGACCGCCAGCCATCCACTTACCATCAGGTGGACTATGAAATCGTTTATCATCCATATTCCATAAAAATAACCACATATTTCCGCTGCCTAGCGCATCTTGGTAACTATGGCGTGCTAGTTTAATTACAGGCTATGTATGCATGCATTCTATCTTAGTACTCGAAGCGAAGCTTTTTTATTTGAAGTTAGCCACACATATTCATAAGCTGCAGTAGCCACTTTTCAAATGCACTGTTAGTTCGCTTATCACTTAAACGTAATGCGTCAATTAAACGCACAAATGTACAAATGCACTAGTGTAGGAAAGTATTTGCGTAACGCTTTGCAGTTTGGATAATGTTTGCTACATTATGGTGAACTGTGGCCGTTTTTGACGTACACACATCAAGGCGAAGCAGACCCAGGACTTTCAGCAGGCGTTACCGTGTAGTGGCGGTGTAAGAATATCCATTCCCCATACCCTCCCGTGGGTGTTGTGAGAGACGACGACAGAGGGAAACAAATCGGGAGATGGGCAGCAGTGTCTCCCTAATAACGACCAAACATAAAAACTGCAGTTGCCAACCCGCTTGCCAAGCGTGGCATTTATGGCAAATATTTTAAATAAGATAATCTATGGGAGAGGCTTATGTTCAACAGTAGACCTTAAAGGCTAACGGTAATGGTAACATCAAGTCAACACAGTCGTCCTTCCTTTAACTGTCCTTCAATCAGTCTGCGATTCACAGCCTGCTTTATTCAGCATATTTTAATAAAGAAGCTCAGGTAATATCGGTCAACTGCACTAATAAAACCTCTTTCGGCTCGGCATTTATTACCACCCGGAGGATAAGTGCAGGGTGGGTCTAGGGTTAGGTAGTCGAAGGCTAAGGACGCGTGCGACTCATCCTAAGGGAAGGGATCCCCTAGACGAAAGTTTATCGACCAAATTGGCAATAAATTTAAGATGGACCAGTTTAAGATTACCCTTAACCAACAAGCATGTATACGTAGGTTGAATGTAAGGGGGTGAGATAAGTGTGTCAGGATTGTGCCAAAGGATGTCTGAAATCTCTGCTTATTCCTGTGGGTGACAGTCGTGTGGTTTACATACTTAGCATACCTGAACAAGTTTCCTTTCATATGAGCTAATTTCTTCTTCATGTTCATTGCCATTTTTTAAACTCTTTCCAATTTCAACAGCTGACATATATCTTCTCAATTGGTCTTTTAATCTTTCATTTTCTCTAAAAAATAGTATTTACATATATTAGTATCTATTAGTCTATCACATAAGTCAGTAATTAAGATAAACTATAATATAGTAACTAAAACTATTATATTTGTTCATTTTCTAGATTCAAGGCCGCAAGGAGTCATTTGCTTTTTTTAATTAACAAATAACATTTTATGATAAACCATAACACTGACCTCACAACCTCACAATACCATACTGTTTAAGTAAAGAGCAACCACAAATATTTAATTGAGGTAAAAAGAAATACATTTCAAGTTGATTGAGAATGATATTGCAACAGAAAAATGTTCTACCCTCCATTCAAGTTTCCTCTGTGACGGCAGGTGTGATCATGACATTGACATCGACATCTTACTCAAATGCAACAATAAATATCACTTCACAAACTTCAAAGCATACTATAAGCAAAATGATATGAGACAACAATTTTATACAGATTTCAAATGATTTAATGTTACTGAATAACTAAATAAAAAAACATCACTTTATTTTACTTAGATACTCCAACCTCTAATTATTCTGGGCAGAAATTGGTGTTGTTTTATAGGACACTATTGGGATTCTATATTTCAAAAAATAATAGCTGAACCCTTTGGCAAAACTTCAAGATATTATAAGTACATTGGGTGCGTTTGGCAGAAAAAAGCGTTAGCAAGCCCTTACAAACGCTGAAATAGATTGCTACTTCAGTAGCGCTGACACAATCAGCCATTTTGCTTATTTAATTTGTTTGTTTTGAAGTAGAGTTTATAAGTTGTTTTGTGCAATATTAGTTTTAAGTAATATAATGACGTGAATAAACATATACATGTTATTAAAAATTCATGATTGGTAAGTTTTTAATATGAATACTTTACAAACATATATTTAAATTAGGTTAAGTTCCCCGGTTAAAACTAACATCGTGTCCTGGAGGAAAATAGCTACTTACGATTTAACAGCGCTTACCGCTTACGATCGCCATTTTGCTTACAAGCGCTTGCTAGCGCTTTTTTCTGTCAAACGCACCCATTATGTAGAAAAAAAACTAATATTTAACACCTTAAGGTCACTAAAGGTGCTGCAAAGAACTCAAAATATCAGATGCATAATGCAAATACAATATTAATATGAATAAAATTTAATATCGAAATAACTTGCTTCCATTCCGAGACCATAGAATAACCATTTTTAAAATTTTTGGCTACCCGACTTGCTGGGGTAATTTAAGGACACCGACAGAATAATTTCGGGCTACTTTTTTTTTTAATTGGCGACACTTTATCTTTTATTTCCTTTTTAATTTTTCATGGAACATCGATTTTTAACATACACTTCAATACCATTTTACAATAAAATTAAGTATGAGTGTTAGCAAAGCATGAGATGATAAGATATTTTTTTTTCGTGTAATTAATAGATCTTCAATTTTTATTTTAACCATTTTTCAATATCGCACATATTTTTCGAGTAAAAAATTGAGTTGTAAATGTTTTTTGATAATTGAACTATTTGCCCAAATACATTTTAAGATCTGCATGTGTTCTACGCGGGTGAAGTCGCGGGCTCACGGGGAAAAGGATGATTGAATAATAAGGTTTTCTCACACACACTTTTGCTTATTATATATCAATGTTTTGTATGGGTATTGTGTTGCAAAACAAATAGTTCTTACTTTCTTTCTTACTTTTCACAATGAATTATATTCTGTGCAGTCTTTTTTTGAATCTATGGATATTATTACTTTACTTCACCAACCCATAAACAGTCTACTTCCGGAAAAGAACTCAAACATAGGGAAATTTTATCATAATCGTAACGCTGGACAGGTTTCTCAGACTTCAATGCTGCTCCCTGTCGCTGGTCTATCAAATTCTTGCTGTTATAATCGACCATAAATCATCAGAAGTTAAAAGACCATATTAATAAATGCTCTTTACTTACTTGCTGAGGTCTAACACCACTTTTTCCAATTTCTGTATCTTATCTTTGCTGTTTATTTCAAATTGATTGAATTTTGATTGCAAGTTTATGAATTCTTTTTCTCTGCACTCCAAAACAGACATAACTCTTTTTTCATCTAGAACCCCTTCATCTTCTGTGAAACAAAGTTCCAAACAGGAAGTGCTACCATTAATACTGCCAGCAATTTCTTCACTATCACTTTCAGAGATTCTTAAACAATTAACACTTAATTCAGAAACATTGTCTTCTTTGGATAAATTATTTTTGTCTATGCTACTAGATGATGAGAATATTTCTTTAGCACACTCAGACAACTTCGTAAGAATTTGTGAGGGGCTATCAATTCCTTTAACACCGTCAGGAAAGAAGTGACGTTTCCCACTTTTACATTCGGAGGTTGTTGATTCACTAATGGAGGTTGTTTGTGGAACAATTACAGGATCTGGAGAATTGAGACAAGTGGGCGGTGCACTGTTCCACAATGGATTAGAAGGGTGAAGTATGGGATATTTGTTTGAATTTCTCTGATTACTTTGATCTTTATCAAATGATATAACTTGTCTCAATGGTTTCTTTTTCACATTGCCAGATGCTTTAATAGGAGTAGGTAGTGGAATAACATGTTCAGCTTTTGTCATTTGATTCCCTTGTTGTGATTCATTTAACTCTGTTCTGTCTATTGATAACGCAAACAAAACTGTTGATAATCCTGAAACAATATGGATGGGTAGAATTTCAAACTTGATAAAGAGCACATATATTCTTATATAAATTTACCTGCTGCCATGTCAGGTAGTATACTAGCTTCAGTAGCTCTGACTATAGCACCATCTTCATAATATTCCGATAAAAGTCCATGAGTAATCCAACTTTGTAAATATCTAATCAAAAATAAATAATTTACATCATAAATTGAATACTGAAAACAGTACCTACTTAATTGAATTGTCATGACATTGTGGTATACAAAAAATATATCAAATTACTCAACGAATAATGCTACACAAATACTGCGACTTAATTTTGATGTTCAAAATTGATTGTCTTAATTTGTGGAGACATATTTCTGGCAGTTCACAATAACATAATAAGGAAGGGATACTAATGAATATATTATATTATGATATACTCCTCATAAAGCTGCCAATAAACTGTCAAATTTAATAGATAATAGTGTCTCATAGTCCTCTCATCCCAGAATTTGATGCAATTATTATAGTTATTGATTCTGAAATTAATTGTCCAATTTCAATAACTTGGAACATCGACATAGTGTGAACAGTGCATCAATTAATTTTTATGTATACAGCTGTAAGAATGGAGTGAGCATAACTAATTTATCAGTTACTCGGATGCAATATCTTAATTTATTTGATTATATTTTTGATTTTCTAATTTCATTAAACTTAGTAGAGTTAATCTGCATAGTGTAAACAGAAGTGCACAAAATCTAGATTTTGATATACATGATTTTTTTTTACTTGTGTGTAATTAAGTACAGAAGCATCAGCTAATGTTGACACTTGTGAATTTGAATTTTATATTCTCACATATTATGTTTAATTATTTTTGCCCTCTCTCTTCATAGTATATGTTGTTAATATCTCCAATTTTTAAAATTTTAACAACTATTAATTATTAAATATGTTTATTGTAAAATTATAATTATTTTTTAGTTACTTGAGACTTATTATGTACAATTGAAGTTACAAACAACTAAGTTGTAATTAAATGTTAAACTAAGTTGGTAACAGGTGTTTATATGTGCGTCACAGACTATCTTCACATAAAATATTCCAAAATAAAATAATGTCAATTAAAATTAACTAATAAATATCTCATTACTTTTATCTGCAACATGGATGGATATACCTAGGTATTCTTACCTCTCTAATGACCTCTCATTCAAAGCAGCCCGTATAAATGCTCTGAAATAACCTAAAGGGGTGTTGATATTTGCCAGAATTTTAAATCTTTCTTTTTCATGTTTTGTCAAATGAAGACAGCTGTAGCTCCAAAGAGAATTTCCTAAAAGTTTCAATCTTTATTCATAACAAGCACACTTCAAATCCTTATTTAATTTAATAATACAAATACATAATTTCCATTCTCACCAACATTAATAATATTGAAAGTAAAATTTAATCCAGCTGAAACTAGATTTTGTATTGTAGAATTTGACAAGTTTGTTCGTATACCATGACTAAGTATTTTTTCCCATCTTTCACACAGCTGCACTATTCTAAAAATAAATAAAAAATATATAATTATAATGTAGAAAACCAAACCATCACAACATCTTAATCGCTACTGAAAATAGTTGTACCTTAAATCATCCTCAGTTGCAAGTTCCGACTTTCCACCAAATCGGTTTTTACAATTCTCAACACATGAATGTAATTCTTGTAAGGCTAGTTTTCCTGTCTCTACCCTTTTTTTAAGTTCCTCCTTATTGTCTATAGCATTAGCAAAGGTATTTAAAATTCTACTGTTCTGAAGGAATGTAAATTTATAAAATTTATTAAACAAATTTAAAAATATATATATATAATTCAGGTAGCTTTATAAAGAACCTGTTTTAATTAAATAAAAACAACAAGAACTTTTAAGTGGTGGTTTACCTTAAAATAATTACCCAACCAGGCAAAGCAATCTAGAGAATGTTTTGCAAAATAATAATTAGTATTTCAAAAATTACATCATTGTTATATGATGTTTATTCAAACAGGTTATGGACCACTTCGCAATTTAGTGACATAGTCATGTTATTGTGGCTCCATATAATTTAGTACTATAGTTGTACTATAACTGTAACTTGTAACTCATCTATGTTTTAACAAAAGCCACTATGTCCCTGTTAATGGGCCTTTGTATACAATATTCTAGATATGGAATTACTATTAATAGTGCACTTCATAAATAAAAAGACTTCTTTTGTTAATGCACAAATACATAATGGTGCTCATATTTTTGTGAATTTAATTTTTCTCCTCAGACAGTAAATTTACTTGTAACTTAAATTTGATCACTAAAGTAAGATAATATGTTTAACAAATTTTTAAAGACCGCCCCACCACCCTCTAAGTTTTTAATATTTTATAAAATAAAATGTAACGAAATAAATACTCTTAAGAGTTAATTTAAGTCTGTAAACTGAAAAAAAAAATACAAAGCTATATTTACAGAAAATATTTTATTACTTTTAAAACCCTGATGTATTGATAAATAAGTTGTCATTATGTTGTGTCTGTGTAGATGCTTCTTAGCTAATTTCGGCCAGGGCAACATCTGATTATATTCGGAAATAATCAAATCTATTGAATCATTCGGTTTAGTGTCACATATGTATGTACAAACAAAGGCAATATAACCATGACATAGTCTTCTGAGTGTTTCACAGTGTATAGCAACCCTTCAGTAACAATTGTTTACAATGTAGATGCTGTATTCAAAGTATGAAATTAAATCTCAGGAAATAGTAATCTAAAAGTTTGAATTCGAAGCTTAACTCTGAATCATTTAGTATGTAATTATCTAGAATTTGATATAGTACCATGGTTTCAACTTTCAAGATACATACCATCTTTCAATCTTATTTCTCATGTCCATTGTATCATTAATTAAACAGTTAGAATTGTAATGAAATCATATAATAGTTATTGTAAAAGATTTAAATAACTAAAGCACTGTATACACACAAATTGTTACGAACTGTTACGAACCGAGAAATCCAATAGCATAGATAAATAAATATGTAGCAAGCTATAATCCAATGCTATGATCCAATAGTCAATTAGCACAGATCACTCGTAGACTAGTATATAGTGATCTGTGCAGATCACTATATACTAGTCTACGAGTCAATTAGTGACAAAATATATTTCCATCACTGACCTCTATATATACAAGTACGCTGGACTGGCTATACCATAGAAATGAAGCGCCGCTAAAGGGTCTTGAAAAATAAAATTGACATAATATGTATGCCAAAGTCTGTTGTCATATTTAAATTGTCTTATTTAATAAATCTGTATTTTGAACTTTTAATCTAAAAAAATGAAAGTATTTTATGTTGTTTGATTGTGTATAATATTAGTTACATAATAAGAATTATTTTTATTAATAATGAGAGTGTGCGTAATGGTTACCTGGTAAAAGGGAAGTGGTATAACATTTCACAAGTAAGTGAATTTGCAGCAAATATGAAACAAAACTATTTGATAATATAAGTACTTAAAAATTTGTTACTAATCTTAATATCATATATATCTTTGGCTGTATATTACTAAGTTTTGATAATCAATAAAATTCAATAGGGTTGTCGAGTTCCTTGTCTATAATACTTATCGATGTTCTTTTCTACCCATATTTGTTAACAAACACAAACTAATAAGAGTACTAACGTAGTTAACAAACAAAGTCGCCAACAACAGACGATTATCAAATATTTATTAATTAACAGGTTTCCAAGTGAACCTAGATTAAAATTATGGCTTAAAAGCATAGATATTGTTACGTACTTGAGGTTCGTGACAATAAAAATTGCCGATAGAATTAACTAAATTACCACTTCAATTTTCTTTACACAAATTAAAACTTAAAACACCAATAATTAATCACACTGATTCACTTTATTCCGCTCCGAAGCTTCGCTTGTCTCGCCAAATTCAATACTTCCCCGATCGCGTATTGCAGCGCCTTTATATAGGGCTCTTCCACGAAAACATCCAAAATATTCCAGAATATTCGAGTAAATACGCGCGCCAACCGACCAAGCGCAGAAAGTTCGAGTTTGGGGCTTCCAGAAAGCTTAGTTCTTCAATTCATGGCGCTGTCGCTTGAAAGATTAGTGATGTCATTTTCTGGAAAGCTCTCTCTTCGCTCTGTTACCCGACACTAGATGGCGCTAGTGCCAGATGTCAACTTAGCCGCGCAACAATATTGTGAATTGGCGTCCGAAACAAAATGATCATATTAGTTCCAAACATTTCATTAGACATGAGACAAACGTTTTATTAGACATGAGAACTGCACCACTTTGAAAAGGTGCAGTATACCGACAATATTTTCTGGTAGTACCAGTACCAGTAAGTATAAAATTATTAGATTATTATTTCGAATGTGTTTTTTTTATTTCTTCTTTCCTCATTTTTCACCAAACTCAAGGGCCATAACCAAGTGTCGAAAGGTCGCCTGATGATGTCGAGCCACGTTGTATGTGTTTCAGTGGGCTGCGGCTAGAGGAGATTCCTCTCCCTGTACCGCTGTAGTCGAGGAGGAGTCGTAAGGGAAGAGGAGTGTTGGTATGGCGATTGGCAATGCGCCACTCGGCTATCTTTCGCAACTTTGGTGAGGCTGCCTTGCTGAGGACACCTTCATGTCCCGTAGTCAAAGGCATCGGAGGTACTAGTAAAATTACCCAGGGATATATAAATCTGAAATTTTATTCTCGGCTAGATCGTAATATTAACTTTGACATAAATGCACTAGTAGTAGATAAAGTCACTGAACGTCTGCCAACCGTTTCGGTCGACACCTCGGCAATGATTGAATTTGAAAATTTGACGCTGGCAGACGATATCTACGCCGTCCCCGGAAACATAGACATGTTCATTGGGGTATCGCTTTTCCCTCATCTTTTGTTACACAATAAGGTCAGGAGCAACTCCTCGCATACCGTGCCTTACGTACTGGAAACCGTCTTGGGCTATGTCATCGTTGGCTCCGCCCCCATCATGGATAATATTTCGGAAACCTCTTATTGTTGTACGGCTGTCGAACCGCTCGAGTCGTTAGTTTTGGGAGATGGAGGAGGTGAACGTTCCACCTATAGTTAGCCCAGATGATAGATTATGCGAGGAAATTTACGTCCGCACGACCGTTCGGGATCGCGACGGTCGATATAGTATAGCGCTACCCTTTAAAGGAGATGTTTTATCTCTCGGCGATTCGCGTCAAATGGCGGAAAAACGTTTCTACAGTTTGGAGCGTAGGATGCTCGCTTCACCCCAATTAAAGGATGCTTATGATGGCGTCATTAACGAATATATAAGGGAAGGTTACATATCACTTGTGGCTCCGAAATTAGATAACTACGAAGATACACCGTCGTATTTCATACCACATCACGGGGTCATTAGGGAAGACAAACTTACGTCTAAGTTACGTGTAGTGCTCGACGCTAGGTGCTAAAACTAGCACTCACTTTCTCTTAACGATATCCTCTATAGTGGGCAAAATTTACAGGGCAGTTTATTTAATATAATAGCAAATTTTCGTTTGTTTAGTATAGCACTATCCACCGATATTCGCCAAATGTTTCTTTGCATAGGGGTCCGTGAATGCGACCGTCGATTCCAACGCATTTTATATCGTTTCAACCCAAAAGAATCTCAAATGGTGTTTGAATTTAACCGCGTTTGCTTTGGTTTAAAGTCGAGCCCATTTCATGCGTTACGCACGGTGAGACAGCTCGCCTACGATGAAGGTCCCTCTTATCCTAAAGCTAAGAGGGCAATTGAAAGTGGATTATATATGGATGATTTTGTGTACTCGGTCGATAGCGTGGAGGAGGCCACCCTAACCACCGCCGAGGTTATAAAGCTCATGAAAGCAGGTCAGTTCGATCTCGTCAAGTGGACTAGTAATTCGCGTAAGGTTTTAGATACAATCCCACTATCACACCGTCTTTCGGCGATAAAAGAATTCGACGATTCTGATACGTACAAGGTGCTCGGTTTGTGTTGGTCACCGGAGTCCGTCTTGTTTAGCCTTAAGGTAAACCCGCCAGCAGAAACGTGCAAAAGGCGCACAATGCTGTCATGCGTTGCTAGATTATGGAATGTCATGGGTTTCGTAGCTCCGGTGGTACTATACGCTAAGCTTTTGATTAAACAACTTTGGTTATGTGAATGCGATTGGGATGACTCGCCGCCTGACAGCATTGTTCGGTTGTGGCAGCGTTTTAGAGAGGAACTTCCTTTACTATCATTATCATCATCATTACAGCCCTTCACAAGTCCACTGCTGAACATAGGCCTCCCCCAAGTAACGTCACAAAGCACGGTCCTGAGCCACCTGCATCCATCGACTTCCTGCATGTCTTACCAGGTCGTCACTCCATCTAGTGGGGGTCGCCCTACACTACGCCTACCGGTACGAGGCTGCCACTCGAGAACTTTTCTTCCCCATCGGTTATCGGTTCTTCGAGCTATATGGCCGGCCCATTGCCACTTCAGTTTACTAATCCGTTGGGCTATGTCGGTCACTCTGGTTTTACTGCAGATATCCTCATTTCTGAGTCTATCACGCAGAGAAACTCCGAGCATAGCCCTCTCCATAGCTCGCTGAACGACCTTAAGCGTCCTCATACGGCCAGCAGTGAAGGACCACGTCTCTGATCAGTAAGTCATCACTGGAAACACGCACTGGTTTTACACTTTAGTTTTCAGAGATTGAGGTATACCTGACGAGAAGATATGTCGTAATTTCTCGAACGCTGCCCAGCCGAATTGAATCCGTCGATTGACCTCTCGGTCGAAGTTGGACTTACCTAGTCGGACTCTTTGTCCCAGGTAAACGTACTCGTCAACAACTTCGAGCATAGTGCTCCCAACAACTACCGGCATAGGTGTGACATGGACATTGAACATGATCTTTGTTTTGTCCAAGTTCATCTCAAGACCTATCCGTTGGGAGACACCATTGAGGTCATTGAGCATAGTGCTAAGGTACTCCAGCGATTCTGCCATAAGTACTATATCGTCGGCAAATCGAAGGTGAGTGATGTACTCGCCATTGATGTTAATACCGTATCCTTTCCAGTCCAGTAGCTTGAAAACGTCTTCCAACGCAGCGGTGAAGAGTTTCGGGGATATAACGTCACCCTGTCTTACACCTCTCTGCAGTTGGATAGGTTTCGAATTCTGGTTCTGTACTCGGATAGCCATCGTAGCCCTACTGTACAAACACTTCAGCACTTCGATATACCGACAGTCAACTTGGCACCGCTGAAGGGACTGTAGCACCGCCCAAATTTCGACGGAATCAAAGGCTTTCTCATAGTCCTCATACGCCAGGCAAAGTGGCAGATTGTACTCTTCGGTCTTCTGTACAGAAGACCGAAGTATGTAGTCTATGATACTGAAGCCTTTTCGGAAAAAGACTTATTTGGCTGGCTAGAAGTCGTCGAATCTACGTGTGAGATGATTTGTAACGACTCTCGAAAACAGCACGTAGACGCGGCTCATGAGGGGAATCGGTCTGTAGTTCTTCAAGAGAGCGTTGTCGCGTTTCTTAAAGAACAAGACCACCGCACTTCTGCTCCACGCCTCCGGAGTAGTGCCACCATAGAGGACGGAATTGAAGAGCTTCTGAAGGACTTCAAGTACCGGTGTTCCACTCGCTTTCAGAAGCTCCGCTGTAATTCCGTCCTCGCCTGGGGCCCTGTCGTTTTTAAGGTGCTGGAAAGCCATTCTAATCTCGCTCAGACTGACGTCTGGGATATCATCGGAATAGTGTCGGGTAAGACTTGCTCTTGGATCGTTACTTACACTTGCGTGTGGCTCCAATGATGATGTGTAC